ATTTCAATACCCAAAATTCATCTATTTTTAATAAATTGTACTTCTGGACAATATAAGAATATTGACTTAAAAAATGTTGGGGGTCGCCAGGTTAATTTTTGAGAAAATCATGGTTGTATTTTAGTGGATAGCAGCCATTTTGGCAGTATTGGTAGTGCTTTTACCATAGGTTCCTATGGCAGGGATATTTATGCGATATCTCAGATTGTAGGCTGGTGACATATTAGGACAAGTTTCTCAAAATACGTCACTGTAACATAAAAGAATGCTATTTCATGGTGCCATGGGACAATAGCTCCATGATTTTACATAATAAACCAATGAACATTGTCATGCGATTTATGACCAACTTTCCCAAAAATGATGAGTAGGCTTCTACCTTAAATTCCTATCTTATCCTATTCATCATCAAGTAACGTTTTTTTCTGTCAAATGATTTTTTTCCATTTTACCAACGTGTTTGCAGATTGTGCTGTTGGCTTTACCTCTCCCTGGGCTCACAGCAACAAGGCATGTGGGGACAGTCAGGCTTCAAAACTGAACTAAAGAGCATATTTCAGTTTACCTTACCCCATCAAATAGAGTATGTCCCAGAATATCCTCTGAATCTTCCAGTCGTCGATGATAAAAAGAAACATTGCTTTTCCACTTGTTTTCTTTATGAGTTAAATTCCATGACTTCTGCCATCTGGTGAAATTTGCTAATGCTGTTTTGTGGTGTTTTTCTTTAATGTCAAAGCTGTACACGTGTCCAGTTCGTCCAACTTTGAAAAGAGGATAAACAAAAAATGTAGAGTGACAGGAAATAAAGAAGGAACAGGGCTTAATAGCGCCCTCTGACAGGTAGATGCAGAATTTCTTTTGTTTTCCAAAGGTAAACCAAATTAAATATCATTAGTAAGTTTTTTGCTTGAAATACCTGCCTTTTGAAACACGCCATGACACACGAAAAGTTTACTTCTATTATTGGAGGGGGGGTAATGAGTGATATGAAAGTTTCAAACATCAATATTATTTCAATCTGTAGTTATTGATCAATGAAGATTATGTTTTTTAGAGATTTTATTATATTCTGGATGACAAATAACCACACAATCATACTTAGTTGACATGACATTCACCGATTTATACCACAGAAGTTCTACTTTACTAGAGGGTACAACTTATAGGATTGGTGTATTGGTGTATTTCTTCGATGCTTGACAATTGCATTTCATATGCATATTAATATTTCAGTGAGCATTTAAAATAATGCTGCAATGTTCCTGCGATGCGTAAAGCTAACAGACGAATTAGGTCAATGTTTATAAAAACAGAATTGTAGTTCCAATACCTGCTCTTGATAAAAATAATGATATGCCACCGGATCCTGAGCCAGCTTCCAATATTTTGCTTCCTGGACTTGCATCAATCATCATACACGCTGTGATGCAATCCTGAAATTAAACATATTGATAAAACCTGAAATGTCATGATTATGTAATCTTACTAAAAAATAGAAATTAAAGTGTAGTATATTGTATAGTATGTTGTACAGCACATGAAATACTGTAGAATACTTTATTTTCGCTTGGAATTAATTTTCGATTCAGTAAAGTAAAGTGACCCAAAAAAAAATTGTGATTTACTGGTACTATATGTTACAATATAAAAACTGACCGCAGTATAGCATTATCTCCGTTTATAAGAGTAAAATATAGTCATACCCGTGGATAACTGATAACTGGAGTTCTATTCATAAGAACTGTAAAATCATCTAAGGACGCCCGTTTAACATAATGTTTATGACCCCTTGTACTTGGGAAATATTTCCCTGGATAACAACCTATGAGTTCGCTATGTTTAATAGCACCAAATTGTGTAGTGAAGGTTTTTGATGAGTTAAGATTAAACATTTTGTTTAGGAATTCATGACGCTTGTGACATTCTCTGGTAACAACGACCAGCTCTCCGTCCACAAATGGCACGTCTTCATCATGTCTAAATGGAGTTGTTTCTTCATCATGACTGTCCTGTTGTATTACATTCACTGCATCCTCTCGTGGTAGCTCAGCAACGACCTCCTTGACTTGAGATGGTATCAGCTCGTTTCTATTAAAATAGGAATCAGTGATTTCATTCTCGGTCACATCAGTTTCAGTTGTTTGTCCATCGTGAGCGTGGGCCACTTTGCTGTGGTCAATCGCATCGGCTGTCGATGTCTTCAGCGAAGAATCGTCGTACTTTTCCAAGTTGAGGTTATATCCTCTGGGAAGCATACCACTAACTCTTCCAAGTACTGACAACGTAGTTCGACGTCTTGCTCTTCCGAGGTTTAGATGACCTTGTTTCAGCTTAGATAGATTGGTATTGCATGCCTCATCATTTTTGTCTTTCGGATTTTCGGGTGAGCGATCAGTCGGAGTCGACTTTCTTGTCGAACACGTGTGAATAAGATGCGCGACGCAACACGAAACATTCAATTTGAAACCATTAAGGTGCATCTGCTGAATAAGATGCACACGAAGACCCGAAGTCATCGTCTCCAAACTTGTGCATACACACGAAGTTCAATCACACATATATTATAAATAACAAGCAGCAAACACGTCGAATGAAGAGGGAATCCCCACATCAATAATGCGCATGCGGATTATAGATTTGGTCAACAAAAATGTTTATTGCAACTTCTCTCAGCTGTATTTTAATGTCCGCACAAATCCGTTATTATGAGGAAAAGAAATATTACGGGATTTTACATCAACATATATTTCTAGACACAGCATATATTGAAAACAAAGTATTTGGTCTAACGCATATTACTGCTAATAAAAGAGTGCTCGAACGAGTCAAAGGGTTTCCCTGCGCAGTTTCTGTGCGCAATAGCACTATTCGACGTGGAATTCAGCTGTGGAACCGTTTTGTTGTGTGCTGTGCAGAAGCTGCCAGCATTTCACCTACCTGGCGCGTAACCTTCCAGAGTATACACAGAAAAACTTTCGGTCACTTGTCTTCGATATCTGGAAATAGAATTGACGATAAACAGTGTTACGATTTCACCAGAAAGACCGCGCCTGTAACCACAACATATAGTACCTCGTAAGATGAAGCAGTTCAATTCAGTCAGTCGACGTTGTTTTTAATTACATAATGTTTATACTCATATCAACCCGTATCAATTTACTACGAGGTCGTGTTATAACTGATTGTCAACACTATAAACTCAGCGAGGGTGGCAGTGATCAGTGACAGCGAAGCTAGTTTATCTGAGTTGAGAAAGACCATATGTATACACATGCCATGAAAGACAGGACTCGAATATGGGATGGCGATTGTTCATCGATAACGTCAGTGTTGCTTGTTTTCTTTGTGTGTCTGGAAAACATTCATTGTGGGAATGTAAAACCACAGACTGAGATTTATTTACCAGATTATACAATCTATCACAATTTGCAACAAATAGGTCAGAGATTGAATGAGATTGTTTCAAGGAATCCAACCTATATGCGAATTGACAAAGAATTCAAATCAAGACAAGGCAGATCACAATACATTATTAGGTTGACTAACTTTTCAGACAGTCGCACATTCACTGGATCAAATAGGCTGTCACATCAGAAACCTAAAATCTTGCTATCATTTGGTGAACATGCCCGTGAGTTCTTTCCTGTGGAAAGCATGCTGTATTTGCTGCAGAACATTACTGGTGGTCTAACTGCAGCTAAAGGTAGTCTTGAAGAGTCCTTCTCTAGAACTGTGTTGTCAAAATTAGATTTATTTATTGTTGCCATGGTAAATCCAGATGGGAGACATTATGTTCAAGAGACTGGTAATTACTGTTGGAGAGGTACAAGTACAGGGGTGGATCTCAACCGGAACTTTGATTGGCACTTTGGTGGCAAAGGAAGCTCGGGAAATTCCAAAGATGAGGAGTATAGAGGAGTTCATGCATTCTCAGGTAAATTTAGAATAAAATATTTAGGTAATAGTGAATGTTTTAATGCTGCAATCAAAATTATTCGTACATCCACAGTGCCCTTTTTAATAGCATATTTGACACTAAGAAATATTGTGATTTCATCTCAAATAAACCTTGAATCAGATAATAAAACCAGTAATAGCCAGTAAGGTTTCTCAGATTACAAAATTTCATGGAAAAACTTTAGCTTGTCACTAAGAAAATATTGCATAGCACACTGCATCAGTTTTTAGAATTTGGGTGAATGAGTAACAATATCTTGCAAAGCCCTTGTAGTACATGGGTTTGATATTTACAGTACATGTTTGAAATAGTAAATGCTTTTTTATCAAATTTATTACAAAACTTAACATGCTCTACAGGATTGTGTGCCCTCAGCATAGGGTCATATTGTCGAGCAGCATCTACTGTTTTCGATCTGCTGCCAATATTCATGCTCATCATTTTATTCTGTGCATACAATAACACAGAAGGAAGAAGTAATTAATATGAGTAATAAATAATACATGAATCTGAAATGAATTCATTATTCTAAGATTGCTATCATAAGAGTACAGTCCTCGACCTCACTAAGCAGAACATAATGTGATTAATTATTCATTAAGTCAAATGATTCAGATAAACAAATAAGTACACAAAAACTAGGATAGCACCAGACATTCATAACTGCTGTGGCTTTGAAAGCATTTTTTTTGCAAGGTCTTTGTTTGGGGTTGTAAACTCCCCTGAGATTCACAACAGATTACTGAAAAGCCACAATGAAATAACAGCAGTTGGAGTTGTTGACGTGTTGTGTGCATTTTAGATCTATTTCATATGCCGAGCAACATTACTGGTTATGTCAGTTTTATTTTTAGTAGTATCTTGTAATCATGAGAAAAGATATTGGCAAAACAATGTATTCAGCCACCATGGCTGAAACTACTGTAAAATCCTTGATTTTAGCTGGAATTAATTTTCACTGAAAAGATCTTTTGGGCTTTTTGTATGGAATTCATTTTCACTGATTTTTGACGAGTTAAATGTAAAATATAGAAAAAAAGTATATTCACTGGATTTTATTTTCACTGAATTATTCTTTCAGCGAAAATAGTGAAAATTAATTCCATTCTACAGTAGTTCATTGTTAGTGGACATCACAAGCTAATATGTAAGTTGATATAATGTAAAGTAATGCCTCTGGAAACAGATTAAGTTGTAAAATGAATCAATCATCCTCCCTGAACTTTGTCACTGATTTCTTGACTCCTGAGTACAAAGGTTGAAAATCTACAATGTAGAACATGCTTTGTATGTAAACATGTTGTGTTCAACATCTGATTGTGAATGTGCTTTGCTACAAAGATATAACCACCTTGAATTGACAGCCAATAACAAGCTATATTAGACATGTGTCATTGCTTGCATAATAAATTTTAACAACAAATGTAATTTATTACTATTCCTTGTGTTCTTTTTTAAATAAAAATTACAGTCATTATTCTCTCTTATCTATCCATATTGGTTTTCCTCAGTCATTTAAATTCACCCCGGAATGTATATTTTATACATGATACAATATGAGAAAGCTATTTAAGTGTGGCAACTGTTATTTTCAGGCAAAAATCGGAAATACTTAATTCTATCATTTCTGTGGTAGTATTTTATTCAGAAAATGGCTTGAATTCTTATTCAATCATTATTTATGATGTACATTGATATGATTTAGCAACAGGTGGCACTGATAGCGTTGTGTATATGATGACATAATAGATATATGTATTGATAATGTGAGCATCCAGATGTGTATTACCTGTCTAGAAATATTAATAATTCTAGAGATTTTGTTTTAATTTAGTTCATACAATACACATTTGATTATGGTTAAACTGTAGAATTCTGCATGTGTGCCAATTCCGAGTTCAATATCATCTTACCGGTACCTTCGTCGATACTTTAAATGTAATGGACCTCTGTTGTTTTCTGGTTAGAATCTATTGCTTTATCATTCTCATCTTTGTACCTTCCTCGATACTTTAAATGTAATGGACCTCTGTTATTTTCTGGTTAGAATCTATCGATTTATCATTCTCATCTTTGTACCTTCCTCGATACTTTAAATGTAATGGACCTCTGTTATTTTCTGGTTAGAATCTATTGCTTTATCATTCTCATCTTTGTACCTTCCTCGATACTTTAAATGTAATGGACCTCTGTTATTAGCTCCGCTGTCAACTTTGTCGAGCAGAGCTTATCACATGAGTGATTGTCCGTCGGCGTCCGTGTCAATGTTTTACTTTTTCGACTTCTTCTTTAAAACTACAAGCCTGAAAGCTTTGATACTTGGTGTATATGTACCTTGGGTAGACCTCTCTCAGATTTGTTCATTTCATGATCATATCTTCATTTTTTGTCATTTTTGGTAAAAAGTGATATTTTCAACCTCTTGTTAAAAACCGCAACCGCAAGTCCAATTGCTTTGATATTACATATATATGTACTACATTTGGACCTCTCTCAGATTTGTTCATTTTGTAATGATATCTTTTATTTCTCTAATTGTGGTGAATATTTTTGGTAAAAAGTGATATTTTCAACTTCTCGTTAAAAACCGCAAGTCCAATTGCTTTGATATTACATATATAGGTACTACATGTGAACCTCTCTCAGATTTGTTCATTTTGTAATGATATCTTTATTTCTCTAATTTTGGTGAATATTTTTGTCATTTTTGGTAAAAAGGGATATTTTCAACTTCTTGTTAAAAACCACAAGTCCAATTGCTTTGATATTACATATATAGGTACTACATGTGGACCACTCTCAAATTGTTAATTTTGCAATGATATCTTTAATTCTCTAATTTTGGTGAATATTTTTGTCATTTCTGGTAGAAAGACATATTTTCTTGTTAAAACCACAATTATTTATGGTAAAAAATGATATTTTTGAACTCTTGTTGAAAACAGCAAGTCCCATTGCATTGATACTATGGATATTGTTCATTTTCTAATGATATCTTCTGTTTTTTAATTGAAATGTGCATTGCTAACAGCGGAGCTATCTCAGCCGAGAGGCTGCTCGTTTTCTGGTTAGAATCTATCGCTTTATCATTCTCATCTTTATTTATCTTCAGAACCTGAATGCGCTGTGCTAACAGAACTGACATCTACGTACTCATTTGATGCGTTTGTTTCATTTCATTCGGGAATTCGTCAGATTTATGTACCATTTGCAGGTTTGTTGCTTTTCCTTACATTTTCCATCACCACTTTTACAGCCAAATATGTCTGCTTTCACTGTAAGCAGTTATAAAATATATTGTATATTGAATTTAATGGTGATGCATGCAGAGCTGTTTTCCAGTCATGGCAGCGTAATTAGGTTGCATTTTTATATAAATATCCCTATACCTCTGTATATGTTAAGTGCTTGAAAGGACCTTTATAGCCAGTCAAATAAAAGTCACTGATATTCTGTATTGTAAGACCCTAGAGAAATATTCACTGCTACAGAACTTCATGATTATCACTGACTCATGAAATTAGCTAAAATTGTTGTCTCACAGAATTAAAGGGCAAGTGCAGTAACATATGTAAAATTATGTTCAATGATTGGTTAATTCAATGTTACATTTTATATACAAATGCTGGCAAACATGATTGCATTACTGTATTTGCCACAGAGTTAATAGCGAAACAAATGCACAGTTTTTCGAAATAAATACGGTGTTATCACTTGTATTTAACATCGATATCAAAAAATAAATGTGACTTTTAATGGCATCTACACCTACCTACATACATCCCAATCGAGACTCGGTATTAAGAGAGTGTCATTGCTTGGGTGATTGTCAAACATTTTGATTAATTTTTCTATTTGAATTTTTAGATGCTTCACAAGCCACATGATTTGTTTTTAATTTGCGAAATGATTTTCAGCTCAATTCTTTGAGAAAACGAATTAGGATTAAGCTTTAGCAGATGCACATTACTGTAGAACACTTTATTTTTCGCTTAGAATTAATTTTCGCTGTTTTCGCTGAAGGAATGATTCAGTGAAAAATTAATCTAGTGAATATACCTTTTTTCCTATCTTTTACATTCAACTCGCCAAAAATCAGTGAAAATAAATTCCATACAAAACACCTAAAAAGTCTTTTCAGTGAAAATTAATTCCAGTGAAAATAAAGTATTTTACAGTACTTTAATTTTTACATTCAAGTTGTTTTTACATTGCGCTGTACAGACCCTGATTGTGAACATGGCTGATTTGCATGGAAATCCCAAAATTATTACATGTTTACGTGACAAACTTGCATACTACGGTAGTAGTTATTTTATGGTAATCTTCTTTGTTCAAGAAAGCGACTCTGGAGGTTTTATTATTCAATTTATCACAACCATAATTTTAAACAATATAAAGAGAGCCTCAAAATGCAGGATTGCATCAAATTCATCAAAAAAACTCTCATTTGCATATTTTTACAGTCAATAGCAATATAATTCAGCAAACTTGAAACTATAAATACCACAGTATATATGTAACAGTGTGTTTTACTGAACAGTCATAATTACTCATTATTTGTCACCTGAGAAGCTCTTGGGTGTACCGGTAATTTGGACAGGGTGTGTATATGGTGTGGTCTGTACATGAGTAGAGCATTAAGCAGGGCTTGAAATTAACAGTAGCCTAAAGCACAGAGTTCTATCTTCCAAACTTAATAGTAGACTACTAGAAATGTCTTTTCACTGATACCAAAATAATAAAGTATGGGTACACAAAGTGAGTTGATTATTTCTAAATATTCACAGCATGTGCATGGCTTTAAGTAGCTATCACTTTATTTTCAAGTTGTGTTAAGACATCTACTATGATAAATAAATTTAAACATTAATTTTTATTGCTCTCAGTATTTACAATTTTCATCAAATTTGGGTGCAATTTGGTTTTCTTTTCAACAAAACCCAAAATTTTCGAGAAAACAAGCAGTTAATATACTTTTGACAACAGCTGTTGAAGTGTTAACGAAATAAATCGTAAATTCTTTATAACGTTTTAAACCTCACGATTAATTTTGATTGTGATATCAGGTATATGTTGCCAAATAGCTCAAGTCATTTTAAATGCAGTAATTGTTCACTGAATTTTTTTACTAAAGTTTTTTTCACTGGAGTTAAATCTACATGAACATGTAAAAATGTAACTCATTGTTTCGCCGTTTTTTTAAGTGAACTTTATATTGATGAAATTTATTGCCCTCACAGTATTAGGAAGTATACCGTTAGTACAATGCAATAATGTTACAAATCAAAGTTTTTTTGTTTTTAAATTTTTGTGCCAGGCGACAGTTCTGGACATTGAAAGTCACTGTTGTCTCTCCTGCCTTTTTTTGTATGTACAATTGCGAGTGCTAGTGTTGACACATTTTTAGTCATATTCATATTTGGGTCTACATGACACGGCTGTGTGGCCATTTCTCTATCAAATGGCAAATTTAATACGCCATCTTGGTGTTAACCAGACTCGGTCAAACACAAGCATCTGCGGACCTTAACCAAGGTTCCCCCAAAGTCGCATTCGTGAGTGAATGAATCTCGGCAGTGGAATTGGCCAAAGTTGTTGTTTTATTTGGCTAGAACTGTTGTCTCAAAATACTGAGCTTAGCTTTTACGGTATAAAAAAACAAAAAAAAGGGAAGTAACATTATGTCATGATTAATACAAATATAATATAATATAGCATAAACATATTGTATTATATTTCTACTGCAGATTCAGTGTCAAAGAAGGAGAAAAAGCGACCTGTCAATCATAAAAAGCAGTTGGAGCTGGCTAAGAAAATGGCCAAAGCAACATCATATAGGTACACGCATGGAATTGCCTATGAACTTAATGATTATGAAGCTGATGGTACGATATTTGATTACATGGCTGGCGTGAGACAGGTAGGATTGCGAGTTAGTACCGTAGCATTACCTAATACGTTGTAAATGAGGTAAAATCGATTTTTGTTTATTACTACCGGTACATCGTGTTTGTCTAGTTTGTGGAATTGGGCACTTGTTGTCCTAGCCATTTTCATCTTAGTTGAGAATATAGTTTATTTGACCATTTTGAAATCTGTGTTATATAAGGTCTGAGGGATATAGGTTAGCAGACACTACCTTAATTACACTTACCGGTACTAATACATAATTAAACAAATCATTTAACTTTGAAATTGTGGAAAGTTTAAAACAAGTTGGTTGGCAACATTTTTCATTTTTTCTGAGGATGACAATCAGATTTACCGTAATCCATTTGAATTTTTTAAAGTTTACTTTTATTTTTTCCTTGTACAGATACCATTTTCCTTTGCAATAGAGCTATGGGGAGATGGAGATCACAACGGTGCTAAATGTTTTGATCTTTTTAATCCTAGAAATGCTGATCTCCAGGTTAGTTCTACCCTAGTCTGTATCACAGACGAGATTGTCAACTCGCGAGATTGTCAACTCACGGTGAAGGACTGATGAAAGTGTCTACCTTTCTTCCTTTTCATACTCACTCTATTGTGTTCATCGTTAGTTGCCATATGTTTTGTATCAATAAAGCCATCATTGATTAAATACAGCGGCTTAGCCTGTTAGCGCCTTTTTTTTTTCCATTCATTTTGGCTATCTGCGAAGGCTTTATGATAATTTAAATATTACTATTCATACTTTGTAGGTTTGGTTTGCTGTGTATAGTGAATGTGTTTAATTTGAACCAAATTTTCGTCGTTTTCAAATATAATGAAAAAATATTGTCAATCAAAACCATTATTACAATTAATTTTTGTCACTCGTATGTCAAAATATTGTCTAGGGACCTCACAAAAGACCATTTACCATTCGTACAAGATCCTGTGATATGCATGTAATTAAACATATAAACAGAGGTCATAGCATTGTAGTGGTGTCAAAACATCGCACGGGATTTATAAAATGTGAAACTATTTTTTGGGTATTTCGGTATTTTATTTAATAATATGTTATAGACATTTGATGATCAATTTTGATGAAGTAAGGATCTCAATGCCATATTCCTCTCTAAAAAATCAGCATTTTGGCATAGAGCTTTGTTGGCCTCAGTTTTTCACAAGTTGAATAAACTCATCTGCTATATATATGTCTTACAAAAGAATGTACAAATATTTACCCTTAGGTATTTTTTTACCGAGTCATAGACCTTAGAAATACATATATTTCTATATCACGTATAATTTCTTCATCTCAACAGTTGATCAAAATATGCTTATAGTGTTAAACCTCAATGTGTAGCCATGTTTTATTATCAAAAGTGTTTGATTTAATTTGATTAATTCTGTAAGTACTTACTGTCATGCTGGTGTGCTTGGTAGTATATCTTTTCAGACGATGGTTAACTACTTAAATACTGTAAAAGGCTTAATTATTCACTGGTTTTAATTTTGCTTATTTCGCTGACTGGAAAATGCGCTAAATTAAAACCCTGTGAATATGTAAAATTCAGCATAGAACACATTATCTAAATGATAAAACCGTGAATTTAAAATCTACTGAATATGCCTGAAATGCTAAATCAGCGAAATTTAAACCCAGTGAATATTTTACAGTATCTCAGTCAAATTGAATCAGTGTGTTGTGTCATCCAATACTATATTACTTTCCATTTACAGAAAACACTGAAGGAAGTTCAGCCAATATACGAGGTGTTGTTTAAGTATATAATTGAATGGAAAGAAGAACAACTCAAAGGTTACTTTAGTTCAATGGATGTAAGTAGTACAATGTATGTGTGTGACAATCATTCTCTACTGGTGTATAACATTATAATACCATGCACTACCCATTATTGAAATGCCATGTTCTCATTGGTCGATTGATAGCTTGGTAGTTCAATGCACGAAAACACAAACATACATGTCAGTGGCTCATTCGTGTCCAGTTTTTCTATTTTTGTTCAAAACATTGGTTTTGTTATGTTAAAAAATCCTGATTATTTTTATCTAGGAAATTACATATGCACATGTTATTTACCACAGGGTACAAGCATCCACAATGCACTTACAACAATTTCTTCATTATCAAACTACACATACCAGTATACTTAGTATTCAATTTTTCAACATTTCAGATTATTGTAATTGAGTAAAGTACTCTGTGCTGCCAATTATTGTGTGGAAACAGGGCTTGAACTCTGTGGGGTGTTCATTATTGTCATCACCCTCTATAATTGTCACCGCTTTTTTGAGATGATAAATATGCTAATGAGTAGCATGAATAGGTGATTTTCCGTTCAAATGCAAGATCTCGCAGGATGCATGAAAGACGCGCGTCGAACCACTGCCACAAAAATCAAACGATTTGATTTTGAACTCGAATTTCCTTATTTCATAGCTCACATTGACCGGCCAATCTTCAACAGTGGAATATTGCTTTCGAATACCCTCACTTAATCAAAATTGTCTATAACGCATGATTCTCGCGGTGAACGGAAAATGGTCTATTGTAAACTGCCAACCAATAAAAAAGATAGCTTTTGATCGACCTGTCCTGAATCTTTTGCGCAAACGCATATTTACTTTCGTCTTTTGGAAGTGTTCCATTCTCGGGTTTCAAAACGTCCTTGCATATCATGATTAAATAGTAGCAACAGATATGCATTATAAAACTGCCATGACTGGGCCAGTTGAGGTTAGAATGTGAAGTGAGGGTCTTTTCATAAAATTATCACTGGTTGTTAAAATTTTAATGACTCTTTGTTTTGTCATTTCAGGAGCCTCCTGGGGGTCTAACTTTCCTGTATGTACTACTTGGTGTTGTTGTTATAGCAACTGTTATTGTGGGTATCAATCACAGATTGCCTCCGTACCTGCGTTTTTATCACCGCAGACGAGTTGTCAGTCTTCGCTCTCTAAGTTCAACTTTCTCTGTAATGAAAGTCACATGACTGTCACATGATTTATTTACAATTTAGTTTTATAGAAGAACTTATCGCAACATATTTTCATATCAACATTGTGACATATTTTTTGTCTATTTATATACTCTGAGATAAGAGTGAAGATATTCCAACCTTTGACCTTTGCAGCAGATCATTCCTGGTCACATTCTGATTATAGCATATAAACCAACTGCTTTTTTTTTTATTTTTGTTCACAAGAGGTTCAGATGACAAATATTTTCATACATAATGTATAGATTAGGGAGTTTTTGTGCTTAGAACTCACTGTAGTCTCACATAATGACTTAAGCATCACCTAGAACTTACTGCAGTCTCACATAATGACTTACACATTGCCTAGAATTCACTGTTGTCTCACATAATGACTTAAGCATTGCCTGGAACGCACTGTAGTCTTATATAGTGACTTACACGTTGCCTAGAATTCTGAGGTTTTGACCTCATAAAAACTGGGTGCATTGGAGCTATATATACTGCTGGTTGTCCAGAATGTACAGTTTTACGCATTTGAGTTTCAGTTTTGTACCCATCTTGTTGATATTGTATGCATCAAGGCTGCTTTTGAAAATGCATGAAATATTCATGAAAATACTATCCATACTCCTGGATGAAGCGGGAAGAAATATGGTGTTGTAACGCACATAGATTACAAGACATCTATTGTGGGAGGGGTTATTCAACTTCTGCAATTGACTCGCCAGTATCATCCCCCTTCTGTCGCAGAATCAACACAACAACCTAGCATAACATAGCAACCAGAACCAGAAATTAATACTATAGAGCTAGAATCCTATTTCGTTCAATATCGTGACAAACAGAAATGCTGATATGAATCTGGAGTCTGTAAATACCACCATAGGAGTTTATTCACATTATTATAATAACTTTGTGTAACATTTTCCCCTAAATTTTCAAATTGGCAATTGTCTCTTATATTCAAACCACTGCTATATCAATATATCTTCATCCATGACAGGCTTTTATCCAGCCGCCTGTCCACATTTTTGACAGGTATAAAAGTGAACTTTTGAAAAGCAAAATTTCAATAAACCTGTCCAATTTTGATTGAAAATGGATTGCTACAGACTAGCAACTGCTATTTTCCATTTTGATGAAATTTTTAGACAGGCAATTTTTATTTTCTGCCTACAACCATATTCCATAGTAATCATCAAAATGTGTTTTCGGGAACCATAATTGTTACCCACTGTGGATATTATGCTTGTTTTTAAAAATATTTGTAATTGTATATTTATGTTAAGTAATTCATGGTGGACGAAAAATTTTGTTTCAATTTTTTTAAATTTGGTAGGAATGTATAATTTTGAAAATAATTTAAAACACTCATAAAAATGGTGAAATCTATAGAGTAACCTTTTTGTAAAAATCTAAACTGAAACTAAAATAATAAAAAATGCCAAGTCTATCAAATACTGTTCATGAATACTTGTTTGTATCCATGGTTTCATGATGGATATATTAGTATCTCCATATGAATACAAGGGTAGCGAAATTAGTATCTCCATATGAATACAAGAGTTGCTATATTAGTATCTCCATATGAATACAAGGGTGGCTATATTAGTATCTCCATATGAATACAAGAGTTGCTATATTAGTATCTCCATATGAATACAAGGGTGGCTATATTAGTATCTCCATATGAATACAAGGGTTGCTATATTAGTATCTCCATATGAATACAAGGGTGGTTATATTAGTATCTCCATATGAATACAAGGGTTGCTATATTAGTATCTCCATATGAATACAAGGGTTGCTATATTAGTATCTCCATATGAATACAAGGGTGGTTATATTAGTATCTCCATATGAATACAAGGGTAGCGAAATTAGTATCTCCATATGAATACAAGAGTTGCTATATTAGTATCTTCATATGAATACAAGGGTTGCTATATTAGTATCTCCATATGAATACAAGGGTGGTTATATTAGTATCTCCATATGAATACAAGGGTGGCAAGATTAGTATCTCCATATGAATACAAGGGTGGCTATATTAGTATCTCCATATGAATACAAGGGTGGCTATATTAGTATCTCCATATGAATACAAGGGAGGCGAGATTAGTATCTCCATATGAATACAAGGGTGGTTATATTAGTATCTCCATATGAATACAAGGGTGGCTATATTAATATCTCCATATGAATACAAGAGTTGCTATATTAGTATCTCCATATGAATACAAGAGTGACTATATTAGTATCTCCATATGAATACAATAGTGACTATATTAGTATCTCCATATGAATACAAGGGTTGCTATATTAGTATCTCCATATGAATACAAAGGTGGCGAGATTAGTATCTCCATATGAATACAAGAGGTGCTATATTAGTATCTCCATATGAATACAAGGGTGGCTATATTAGTATCTCCCTATGAATACAAGGGTG